AGAAAGCATTATATTTTAGATATTTTTTTCATATTAAAACATATATTCTGTGCAATGTTGTATTTAATAATTTTAAAATTAAAGATCTACAGTCTAATAGTTTAAAATAATATAATTATAACTATAATTATAATTTAAAAATAACAAGATATATAAATTTACAATCTTTTTCTTATAATTTCTTGTCTTTAGTTTCTTTGTAGTAAAAAAAAATATTTCAACAATGGAACTCTAATCAATAACTATTGTTATATAATAATTTTGTATATTTAAAATAAAAATTTTTACTACTATGCGATCAAAATTATATCAAAATTTACAAAATTATATCAAAATTTACAAAATCGATATACCTATCTAATTTCAAATATTACTGCTTAAATTAATTATGATTATAAAAAAATCTTTCTTATCGAATCTATATTTTAAATAATATATAAATAGTTTGAAGAGAAATAATTTTTCTGCAATGTATTATTATAACTTGTGTTGAAAAATTATATACTATGTCTATTAACCAATTAAAATCATATCATAATAATAAAATATATAATAAAATAATAATATATAATAAGTCAATAATATATAATAGTCATTATTATAAATACAATTTTTTGTTACGATCATGTAATTAAATTGTATATTTTCAAAAATAAACAAGTGTCCGCATACTCTTTGTATTTAATTTTTTGTTATATTTTTTGTTATTTATATTATAACGCTAATTAATGAAAATTGAATAGATAAATTAATAATGTTTCTTTTTAGGTGAAATTGATTTTGCATGCTATATGTACGAAATAAATCAAGCTTGTTAAAAGTTTGATAAAAATTGTTACTATTACTATTACTATTACTATAAAAAAATTAGTATTATTATAATTAAAATCATATAATTTACTATAAAAAAATTAGTATTATTATAATTAAAATCATATAATTTACTGTAATCTAAATTATATTTAAACTGATATTAGTATTTAAAAGTACAAAAATTTAGAAGTTTTAAGCAATTATGCATTATAATTTTTTAAATTTTTAAGAATAATTTTTTATAATAGATATTTTACCTGTAATTAGTAGATGCGAAAAAGACATATAAATAAACATTATAATTCATATACAAGTGTTCCATTTAAATTTATATAATTATTTCTCATCATTTATTGTTCTATGTATATTGATACAAGTTTTATTTGGATAAAGTTTTAGCAGTTCATTTCTTTAAATAAAACTATATATTTTTGTTTAACTATATAATTATGTAATGATTGATTGATATATTGATTTTTCAAGGTCTTTAAAAATTATCTATTATCATTGTACAAGCTCTTTTTTTCATTGAACATCCACAAAAAATATTTTATGTATTTGCAAGGATGATCTTTAATATCAATACATTGACATGTTCTGTCCCTGAATGATACTTATACCTTTTCAAAAATTACTTTACTAATTTGTTGGCAAAAATTCAGACATGAGTATTATCAAGGATACTGGTTTCGCGAAATAACTTATAAATATCCATTAAATAATGTTTATTTTATAATGATTCATTAAAAAAAAGAAAAAGAAAATATACAAAGGTATCAAATCTAGAATTCATGGTAAGGATATCTTACTACATATTTCATATTCAATGACCACAAAACGTCATATTTATCAACAATTATTACGAACAAATTATTATGCTGGAATCACGGTAGCGAATTAAATATGTTTAATTTTTATTAATATTTAATAATTAAAATTTTTTTTTAGAATATTTTGGAGTTTTGTTAGTAAGATCATCTTGCTTGAATTGACACATTAATATTACAAATAGTAGCTGTAATATTAATGAAACTAATTATCTTAATATAATAAAGTAAAGTATATAGATAGAATAAAAATATTAATTAGTAGTAAATAACCTTAAAATACATTGGAAGATCAATATATCAGAAATTAATGTATTCAACTTGGAGTTTGTTACATGTAACTTCAAAGTATTCTGAAAATTTCACAGATATCTTCACATAAATAAGTAATAAATAAATTTTTTCTTTTCCAGTAACAAACAATTCAGTAGATAACTACGTGGGAAAATTTAAATGGAACACTGCATTTCTATCTCATAAAATAAAATGACAATATATTGGTTCGTTATTATTCAATTCATTAACAAACAAAAAAAGACGCATAATAGCATTAAAATACGATGATTCTCTTACATTTCCGCTATTCTCAATGCCTAGAGGCAAAATGTCAGCGTGTGCTTTGTTCCTTTGCTTGAATCAAGAATAATGTTTTGCCGGATGTGAACGAGTTACAATGGAAAATTACGTGTATGCATTACACGTTGATCAAAATAAGACACAGGACACCATTTACTAAATATACATACAAATGTATGCATTCATCGAAGCATTTCCAGTTTGCCTCTTAGAGTAACTTTCTATACAGCAATAACAAGGTCACAAACGTAGTTTCAATGATCTGTATGAAAAAGAAAAAGGTCGACATACATGTATTACTGCGGGACCACTGATTATTAAAGGTATGAGAAGAAAAACTTTATATATAATAATCTACGAAATACACTTCTTTATAATTAAAAAGAAAACACCACGGTTATGATTTCCGGCACGCTGGAATGTGCTGTTAGCTACCGACTGTCACTGCACGTTTCAGCCACGATGTGTCGCATAGGATCGTATCTACTATCTCCGGGACCTTCCTATAAACTGGACGGGTAATTTAAAAAAAAGAAAATTCATCCGGACGGTAAAAAATAACAATAACTTGAATGAATTTGCTTACAATCACCCTTTGTTTTGTACCAATTTCAAAATATATTGATCTTTTTCTAAAAAATCGGACGTACATACGTTCTTTACATTTTCAACGACCGAATGATGAAATAACCTCATTCGTAAACGTAAACTTTGCTTGTTTATTAACATATATATAATGTACAAAATACACAGAAATAATAAGTAATTTTTTACAATGGAATACATATAATAAATGTATTACATGTTTCAAAGTATTTAAATTCATTGAATAAATAAATTGAAGATGAAAATTTTCTATTTTTACTGTTCACTGATTTTAAACTGAATGTATCATTTGAATCGTTGATCGTGAAAATAGCGAGTGTACGATCGACGTTAATACAACAGCGAAATAATCTCTTAAGAATGTAAAATTTTTCACCTGTAACCTTAAAAATAGTTAGCAACAAGGGAAATATACGGCAATGGGCACGATTGGTCGAATAGCACGGTAACAGCGCGAAGTGCGTCACATGACCGGCGCAGACTCGCGACTGTCGATCTTGCGAAAATCCATATCGCGCGACTCACCGTCGTCGATGCATCTTTTAAATGTTCCAAAAGGACACGACATATATTACGCTGCGTGAAATTCGAAGGAAACACACAATTATAAAAAAAAAAAGAAATTTCTAATTGAAATTTCTAACCTCTATTTCTATCAAATCGTGATTAAGATTTTAAAGATTAATTAATCTGCAAATCCCTATTAATATCTCGAGACTTATACATATGTATATATACCTAATGTACATTAAAACTACGGACAACAGTTTGAGATAAAAATTCTAAAAATAGTATGTTCTCCGATAATAATTATAAAAATAATAGTTTCTATTGAACGAAATGGAAACAACGACGAGAGAAAATTGTAACAGGAATGATCTTTTCTTTTTTCTTCTTTTTTTTTTTTGTTTCTTTGTTAAAATCCGCTACGTAACTTTTTATTACGTTGTAATTGAACTTACATTGTCTGATGTATATCTAGGCGTAACATCGCTTAAATGTGCGTTGAGAAATATAACGAGAAAATATTATTATACTGAGAGTACTGGAATACATTTCAATACAAATTTCTTCTTACTTTGTGTTGCGTTTCAATTGAAATCAAAATCACTTTCTGTGTTCGAAACGTTTCTTTCGATAGTACTGTCCGTGTCAGAATCCAACAAAGTTTTAATTACATCTTTCTTTTTCTTCCCATTTTCGGAAACTGACGTTTCGTTCTTGCTCTGAGCCGTATCAGCGTTTCCCTCTGCCTCTTCGTGTTTTGGCTCTCCTTGCAATTCCTCATTCGGTTTATCTTCTTCTTGCACAAGCTGCGCCTGATTAGCATCGTAATCGGAATATGCAAAAGATTGATTTACATTCGGATCATTTTCTTGATTGGAGTCGTATTGTTGATCATAAGCGTACGCATATTGTTGATCCGCGTTTTCCTGGTATTGCACGTTGGGATCGTGTTCGTACTGATTTTCAGAACCATATTGCTCACCGGCGTATTCTCCGTATTGTTCACTCGATCCTTGCACATACTCTTGATTAATATATTCTTGATATTCTTGGCTTTGATTATTTTCGTAGACGTTCTGTTCATAATTCTGCCTTTGATCGGCATCATACAACGCGTTTGAATTGTAATTTTCATCTTGATTAGCTTCGTACGCAGCATTTGGATCGTAATTTTGTTCTTGATCAGCGTTGTACGACATATTTCGATCATAATTTTCGTCCTGATTGTTTTCGTACGATGCATTCTGATCGTAATTATATCCGTCGTTCAAACCACTATACTCTGTTTCATAATTTTGCGGGTAATTCTCAGCTTGATTAGAATCTTCGTAGTAATTTTCATTACTATATTCATAATCTTGTACATTTTGTTCTTGAGAAGTATTAGACGGGACATTAATTTCGCCAGCTTCTTGTTTCTGCTCACTGTGAAATTCATTCTGATCTGTCGATGGTTCTATATTCTGAACAATATTCTCGTTGGCCGTGTAACTTTTGTCTTTGCATTCTTCTTTTTGATCTAGCGAGATAGAAATCTCACTTAACTCGTTTTCATTCGCAAGCTCTTCTTTTGATTCGAGATATTCGATACCTTTTTGTTCTAATCCTATATTCGAATTTATATCTTTTCCATGCGTGTCTTCGCTAGAGTCTTCCTTATTCTCTTCATTTTCTGTGGTTTTTATTCCATCCAGAAGTTCAGTTTGCTTTACATTGTCTTGATTCTGAGTATCAGTGACAATTTCCTTCTTGTCAAGTTGATTTTCAGCTTCATGAATTGAATCTACTTCCTTTATTCGCTTCTGAAGAAGATCCAGATTCCACGGTTCTAATTCATCTACGATATCAAACAAATACTGATCAAGATTTGATTCTGCCGCGATATAAATGTTCCTATCTTTTTCATCATACTCTACTCTTTGCATATTTTTCGACGTAATAATGTTCTTAATGTCTTGTTCTACAACCTTGTCAACTGACGAAGTCACCATGAGATCAACTTGCTCATCCCCTTGCATTTTAGGCAATTTTTGTCCATACTGCTCTAACGTATCATTCAGATTTCCCTTCTCAGAATTTTTAACATTTTGATGTGAGTCTAATTTTGTCTCGTGTAATTCAATATCCCCGCTAATTTCGCGTTTTGCAAGCGCGGCCGATGTTTTGCAATCGTTGCGCGTATGCGAAACGTAGTTTCTTTCTAAAATCGGTGTACCGCCTCTCGCGGCTTGAACAAATTCGACACTTCTATTTTTATTCACGCGTGCTTCTCCAGATTCGTTGGCAACGTCCAAATCCACTGATCTAGATGCAAGATCATCCGCTAACGCTAAAACCTTCTCGACTTCTTTGGGGAGATCTTTTTCTTCCGATTGATCCCCCGTAGGAATCTCCGACAAATTATCAACCGATAAAGAAACGTCAAGCGTATTACCACCGACATCACGCTCCTGTTCAATTTCCTCTAAACTTTGCGCATCAAGGTCACGATGAAGTCTACGAATCTTATCAATGTACCTGTCTAATTCGTTCTCTACGATCGTTGTTGTTCTACTTTCATCTTGCTGTTCCACAGTGGATTGCCTCGCATTAGTTTCTGGTGTGAAATATTTATATCGTCTCGTCATATTGTCGATACCGGATGTTACTAGCGGACGTACAACAGAAGCACCGCTAATAGATTTGTGCCTTGATCTAAAATTATCGGGTTTCCTCCACGAGTAATCGTAATAACGCGGTGAGGCTTGTTTCGACAAATTTGGAGATTTGCTCGACGAGGACATGCAACAGATATTTCGTTCTATAGGCGCGGATATAGTTTTATAAGCCGAGGATGCTTCGTTTGGAAACGCACCGACGCATCTTGTCTGCGTTTCCATGTCGTGTAACGAAACTTTGTTACGTTTCTGTTGAAAAGGCTGTACACTTGATGGACGAGCATAATCTACAGTCATTGGAGCAAATCGATTTTGAGATACATTCAAAGACGTATACGGCGATATATTACCATTGATATGTTCTGGAACTATAAAATGCGACGCAGTTTGCGATATTTCCATCCGTTGTGTCAAGGGTTTATTGAAGTTGTAATGCGATAAAGTTTGTTGATTCAACGAACATAACCGACCTGATGACACACGTGGAATATGCAAATTTGGATCGACTTGAAGGTGTGATTGTTTTTGTTCAAAATTTTCTAGGCTCTGCGTCGCTGGTTGTTTTATCATTTCATTGTTTTGTGAAATCGACGGATAAGTATTCTTGCGGCTTATTTGTTGACTTAAAATTCTGGGTTGCGTGTTAATATTTTGTTGATGATAATCGTTACACGTATTTTGCGCAGATTTAGTTGACGCGGATGGAGGAATCGATTGATTTTTATGACCGTCCAACCGCAATAATTGAGATGCTGAAGTATTTTCTACATCAAGAGAGATTTGTTTCGCGATAGCGTCTCTTCTTAAATATCTATCTTCGCTTTGATTCATTACACTGCCGCCATCAATAATATTCGTCGATGGGCTAGGAACTGTATAAATACGACGAAGATAAGCTTCATATTGTTTCTGAAAAATAACGAGATTTTCCACATTGCAACACAAACATTTTCAATCGTACATGTATTTCAAATAATAAGTATTTCACATTTATGTAGTCACATGCTATGCAATCAATGTAAGTTGTGCATTGTATGTACAAGTGCTCTCAAAGAAAGATAAAATTTTACTCTATAAAGTAGCTCACGTAAAAAGCTTTTGTTTAACCGATAAATAGTAATGTATAAAAATAAAACATTTGTGAATTTCAAGAAATCATTAAATGTTATAACTACATATAACGACTCATAAAAGTATTTATACACTTATCATATAAAATTTATATATATATTAGTATATGAGTTTTATAAAACATTGTAAATTATAATATATAATATGTTATAATATATAAATGTTAATGTTATAATATATAATATGTTATAATTGTTATAATATATTATAATATATTATATACTATAATATATATATATTATATATATATTGTATATATATATATATATAGAACACGATAACAAATTTGAATAATTACAGTATTGAAATATTTTCTATAGCATATATAATTATTGTATATATTGTATATATATTGTATAATTATTGTATATATTGTATTGTGTATATTGTATATATATTGTATTATTGTATATATTGTATTGTGTATATTGTATATATATTGTATAAGTATTGCATATATTGTATTATATGTATATATATTGTATTTATATTAATTATTGTATATAGTGTGTTAATGTATATTAATGTATATATTATGCATTTTAGAAAACATTTCATTAATACGGTAACTGGACAAATTTGAAACCAATCTGAAAATGTACATAGAAGTGATAAGAAGGGAATTATCATAAACATACATATATATTTAGTAAAAGCTTAATATACAATATAAATAACCATCTTAAACATATGAAGAAATGTTAAATTTCTACTGAATATTACTGCAATAAACTTATTGATATAATGGATTATGATTGTTTAAATACTTCTGTAATTTAAATATTTCTTTTATGTACATTTTCAGAATCGTTAAAAATTTTATCAATAATAACTATAGTAGTTGTTATAGTAGTGGTTGTTACAACAGTTTCCGAATGTTTCGTATAATATAGGCATGTTCATAAAAGATGTCAACAAGTGTATATATACTTTCGTGAGCCATTATAATATCTAGAACGATGAATTTTTAAATTTGAATTTGCGAAGGATGAGGAAAAACTCACTCTAAGAGCATTAAGTTTATCTGTTTTTGCAGTCATCGATGCAAGGTCATTATCTACTCTATCCAATGCTTCAAGAAGTTTATGATTTCTTTCATCTCTTGTACGTTGTTCCTCTAAAAACTCTATATATCTTAAACGTAATCGATTTATACACGCATCATGCCTGAAATGTCATAATAATTTCATAATTTTCTAAAAACCAAGTTTCTCTTCTCTTTGAAAAAGACGAGATCCATTTTAAAGAGTATTATCAGATTAATATAATCGTAAATATATAAGAAAACTTCTATTTTCGTTGACTATGTTTAAGCTACGCTACAGTATACGCTACAGTTTGTTCAATGTCTGCATAATCGAAGGACATCGCGTGCGTGACGTGTCGTAAAAGATCATGTCTTTCCTAGATAGTTGTGTACATAGTTGTATACATATCTATTATATGCACATATAAGTATATATAATAACACTAACTATATGAAAATATCAAGTTGCAGTGCCAAATTAAAGGAATGTCTATATGAACCCTATACTATATTGAATGTAGTATATTCGATCGATGTTCACCTAGGTTAAGGTACAGATGTTAAAAGCGCAAAACACGAAATTCACGTTCGGAATCAATTGTAAGATAAAGTTAGTATTGATTGTGACATTTCTCAAAACTAGGTCACTTCTAAATCAATACATAATCTCTGAAATTCTATAGTGTTATTATTACGTAAAACGAAAATAAAATCGATAATAACAGCTATTTGCCGATATTCCGCCTCTAAAAATATACTTAATTAATTTTTGCTAGTATACATACTAAACGTGACAGGTTAATTTATTGCTTCAAGAGTATAAAAAAAATTTCGTATATATAAATATAGAAATACCAGGTTTAATAGTGACATTCAAATAAACAATTTTCCTTTAAACACTCACCTATTACGAGATTCTTGTACGAGTATTTTGAATCTCTCTTCTAATCTTATTCTCTCTTCTTCACTGTAACAATCGTTTATAAACATGCAGTAATCTGTTTCTAGGTTTAAGAATAATAGGCTCATAATTGATTCGAATTTTATTGCAAATCATTATTTTAAGAAATATGTACTTCACTTACCTCTTTCGTAATTTTTCCTGCAATTCCAGCATTTTTTTGTAATAGTTATAATTGTCATAAAACGATGTCATAATTAACAACAAATGTGTGTGATTTAACTTGAAACTAATTCAAAACTCAAAGTTATCGATTGTATCGACGAATTCGATACTTGGCGCATACTACGAAAAATTTTAATAGAACAAATATTTTTTTAAACAATGTTTACCAAAAGCATGACGCTTCGTAAAGCCAATAAATGCTATATGATATATAAATATCATATATAATATATATAATAAATAAATATTACATTTGTAAAAATAGCAAATATTTATTTTGGGAAATATACTTTGTAAAACTATTTCAATTACTCGATGAATAACTAAAACAAGTGATCAGTCAATTCATTGAACAATACTTGAAAAGATGTCTTACGTATTATAATGTGATATAAACTCATTTTATTTTGAACGATCATAGCAAAGATAATTGCAACGTTCTTTCTTTGGTTCGGCACTACAGACAACTGTCGTATTTGACGTCGTACAATGGTAGAATTGGGGATGCTACAGCAAGTAAACACGCAGGTGTTGTCCCTACTCCTACTCTACTCACGCAATAACAAAATATATGTATACGTATATAAAATTATATTTTAATGTGATAATTATAAAAAACTGAAACATTATTTTAAGATAATATTTGCAAATAAATAAAATTTTCATTTTTGTTAAAATTACATATATATATATATATGTATATATTAAACATTACTCATTTTTTTAGGATAATTTTTTATTTCTTATATAAAAATAAATTTTAATATATATATATTAAAATATGTGTAAATATAAAAGTATAAGTTAAGTATAAGTGTAAATATAAAAGTATAAATTATTTTTACTTAAATTGAAATTGAAATATAAATTTTTTATAAGATGTTTCTATAATTTTCTCTTTATTTTACATATATATATATTTTTTTTTTTATATTTTATATATATATATTTCGAACACTGTTTATAATAATTAATAAATTTAAAAAGAGAAAGAAAAATATCTCTTGAATCAACTACTAAATTGATTTTTTGATAAAAAAATATGTATTGTTATATACTATTACATTTTTGTTTCTTAAATATTTTTTATTAAAATTTCTTGATTATACAAAATATGAAGAAACATTTTTAATAATATTCATGATTTTGAAATGTTGAAGATATATCAGTTTAAAAATATTTGAAAGAAAAGAGAAGAATTTCAAAATTTTACTAATAATAATTTACACATGCATTGCACTGTACAGATTATTAGAATTATATTATGTAATTTCATGGAGTATCTTCACATTTTTTGGCATAAACTGCATGTAAATGTTCTTGTAATTCTGTATTTTCTGTAGCCATACATAACGTATGATGCAGACAATCTCCAACAAGTTCAAATTTCCTTTGAAGCTGTTCAAATAATGATTAATTGAATGTGGATGAGCTTTTATTAAATTACTTTTTTATAAATAATTATACTTCAAGTACTATAGGTCGTTTTGTTCCTTCTATTGGCCTTGCTATTTGAGTACTTTTCAATTTAATGACTTTATCCTTAAATACTCCTTCTTCTATTGTTGTCACACCAAAATTATGAGACAATAACATATAAATTTTATTTGTGTCTGGTATTATTTTCAAAAATCCAACTTCATAATGCAATGGTGTTTTTTCATCAGCCCTCCAACTTCTCGCAGAGTAATTGAACATTGGTTGACCAATAGAAGAAAAAGACATTTCTTCACAATATTTGAAAGTCTCGATTGTTGAAAATTTACCAATCCCAGGATCTTTAGTTCTCCATATTCCTTTTAACCAACTTATTGGTTTGAGCACTTCGTTCATTGGTAACATCTTCATGTCTGACATGAGAAAAATACTTATTTAAATAATTATATATATAAATTACAGAAACGTAATTGGTACTTTTTATTTACATAATTTGACATAATACTAACCTATACTATCATCAGAAATATCTTGCATTTGAAAAGTTTTTATATCTTCTATTTTGTTGATAATTCAAAATTTGCTTTTCTGTGTAATATTGTGAATACTTTGTTATAAAATGTTTAACAATATTGATGTATATATATATCGTTCCTATCTATTTACTTACAATATCGAAAATGATTGTGTTTCACGTAACTGTATATGATAAACTATGAGGTTGTACGACATTTATAATTATCACTCGTACTGTTTACACTTTTAATGTATATAGAATCTGCTACTTTCTTCGCGATTTAAATTTTTCCTGAATTATTGTAACAATAGTTGTTAATTTTCATATTGTATTGTACGTCGGGATAACCTTCAAATTGAATTACACTTCAAAATTTAAGCAGACAAACTAAAGTAATTAAGTACTGTAGAGATGCATTAAATATTAACAAATTTTTGAGTAGAGGTAAATATTTTTTAAAAAAAGCCGCGGTTTCTACATAATAAAATGGCGACTGCCATTAACAAATTCGAGTAAATTATATGGTATATAGTTGTGTTGTTTATAGTTAGTAGTTTTTTTTTAATAATTACGCGATAATTCAATTATTTTTTCTAATTTACAGCATATTAATCGTAAGTTACATCTTATCTATTTTTTTTTTTCGAATCGTAGTGATTTATTCTGATTATAGGTTCGATACATGTAATAGCATTAATATTTTAAAAGATTGTTTCATACAAAGTGATTTAACTTATGTACGTATTTCGCATATAACGTCACAATTATTTAAAAAAATGACCAATATTTTAATATTGATTTGTTCTCTGTTTACTAATTAAAAGATTAATATGTTTATTGTAATTAATTTCATTAAAGCATAATGTAATAACAATATCATACAATAGATTATTATGTATATTAAAATTAGTGTTATTAAAGTGATATTTTCAGATAATTGAAAGCTAGTTAAATCAGTTCTAAATATATAATTTCTTGTTTAATTAAAATATTATTTCTTTATTTCATTTATTG